TCCAGAAGTGAATGAACAATAATTTTACATATGAAATATTTAGTCACATATTCTTGTTAGTTTTTACTAAGGTAACATTACACAGGATAGCAAGTTACTATGTGCATCTTATTCAATTTAAAAAAATATACTATCTCCACAGACTCCTTTTTCTTTATTATCTTTGAATTACCATGACTTTTTGGTAAAGATACAGGAGTGATTTCCTGTTGCCTTCCCTTTTTTTTTGACTTTATAGTAGTTTTTCTCTTAGATTGGCTGCTACTCAAGGCTAGAGAGTCTAGTCTACTCTACTATTTAACTCATAGTATTTGTGCATTTCCCAAGAATATCAGTGTGAAAGAAGAGTAGATAGATTTGCCTATTACCTGGCTCACAGTTCTTCCCACATTTTTTGAACAGGAGTAAGAAATTTATCCCTTGTTTCCTGTTTAGGATTGGATATCTGGTACCTTTGAAAGTTTAATCATTCTCTTTCATTCCTAGTAATTCCTTGCATCTTAGTGGCATTACCGCGTTGCTTGGGGTGATATAATAAAAAAAAAGAAAAAAGTGAATGAAACAGACTAGGCTGGAACTTGAACTTGTCTTACTGATAATATTCAGTCACCCCCCCCCCACGAGGGTGTCATGTGGCACAAGGCCTTTTTAACATGGGCATTCCCGAGCCATTAGGCTCGGCCAAAAAATAGCCCATTTGAACCCGTATAAACGGGTTCTGGGCCGGGTTTACCTCCCCGAAGGAGGCTACGCCAAGGGCGGAGCCTCCTTTCGGTTCCTCCCTACCAGGAAGAGAGTTTAACCGTGCAGTCGGTTCAGAGGTGAACGACTGACTTGTCTTACTGATTCCATTTTATGTATCAATGACCGTCATATTAACCACACATCTCTGACAAGATTATAAGCTTACAGCACCTATTGCTCCATAGCAGTCACTATTTAAGTACTGACCAGATTTGATGTTGCCTAACTTCTGTGATTGGACAATGTAATAGAACTAATTTCTTTTGGGGTATTTTTGAAACTTGCTTTTGTTATGGTTTGTTTTTTGAGGAAGAGACAATGGTTACCAGATTGGTCAACTTTTAAAAGATGAGTAACAACATTTTGAATATTATTTACATTATTCGGACTATTGTCCTCATCTTTGTCGCCATATTTATTACAACGTTTCGGCCATTATACTCTCTGGCCTTCTTCAGGTGGTTGGAATGTTGAACTTAACCCTTTATTTCGCTGATTGGAGTAGACTGTTCTAGTTCCACGTGCCATGTTTAATGGATGTCATTTATCAGTTATCTCCTGTTAATTTCCCTCTGCTTTAACCGGGTATTGAACTCACACTCTTTGGGTCCTGTCACTGGATCTAATCAACGCCTTTATCTACTGCGCCATGATCATGGTTAGATCCAGTGACAGGACCCAAAGAGTGTAAGTTCAATACCTGGTTAAGACAGTGGAGAACTTTCAAATAAACAGGGCTAACTTAGGCTACTAATATAAAGTGAATTCCAAATTTACTTTTGATTTGGCTTTCAGATGTAACCTAATTTGCTATTGGAAACTTTTTTTTCTTTTGGTACTGGTGGTACTTTTTAAGTATAAGAATAAATTGAGCATTTAAAAAATGAGTGTACTGTAACTAAATTTTGAATGTTGCTAATTTTTAAAATAAACTAGTCTAATATTTAGGCTACTAACAAGATAGAGAAATTTAGTAGCACTGGGTTTTCAGATGTAATCCAGTTTGCTATCTGTAACTTTTTATTGATGCGGGGGTTACTTTTTAAAAATAACTAGACTAACTTGGGCTACTAATATGAAGAAAGTTAATTCCTAATTTCAGATGTAACCTGTTATATTCCATACTAATAGGAATATATACTTGAAAACACAATGGATAAAATAAGTAAAGGTTTATTGTAAAAACCAGTACAATAAGAAATAAGGTAACAGTTATGCGCACGATCATCGCAAGTCAATCCAGTAGTGAGTGCTACTATTGGAAGGTCGGTAGTTCTCATGTAAGTCTGAGTTGTACTTAACAGATCCCAGCTAGTATATTAAGCTACCCCCCACGAGGGTTGCATGCGGCACAAGGCAGGTTTAACGTGGGTTCTCCAAGCCTGTAGGCTTGGCCAAAAATATTTCCTTTTGAACCCATATAAATGGATTCAGGGGAAATCTACCTCCCCGGACAAGACTCTGCCCTTCGGTGGAGCCTTGTCCGGGTTCCTCTCTGCCTGAAGGCTGAAAGTTTGACTGTTTAGCTGGAACAGGTCACAGACTTCTGTAGTATGTTGACTTACCGATATGTATAGGTAGTTACTACCTATAATGCAGTTACTCATGGGAGTGACAGGTTATTCTATTACATCATAACCCAATTTGCTATTTGTAGCTTCTTTGTTGGTGTGGGGTTACTTTTTCAAAAAGTGTAACTGATATAATGTTTTCAGTTAATTCCCTTTAGTAACTCAACAGCTTTAAAATTTACATAATGATTTAAAATAAAAAAATTAAATCCTAAAGACTAAACTCCTGGGTATGATGATAAACTATATCCAGCAGCAAGGCCTGTCATTGGCAGATTGGAGGTTTTGAGGAACATAAAACTACTTCTTAATTGCTGCTGTTCCCAGGTCTACCATGATCCAGGGTGGTAGCACATGTTAGGGTCCCAGCTATTGGCAAATAGTGACCCCGCCTCCAAAACAAAACACTATGAAAGTATAGAATATATTTTTATAGTAAAAATACCAGCAATACATTTTTATACATGTATAAAGAAAAATGGCCAATAATACATTTTATCTGTGGTTGAAGACATACAATTGTGTTCAAAATATTTCATTTTTCGGTATTAAATAACCCACAGAGGTTGATATAGCACTCAACAAAATCAACTAATCAATCGACCTAAAGAATAAAAGAGGGCTTGTAGCTCAATATCATCTCCCTCATTTTCCTCCGGCCTTGTACCTGACTAAGTTAAAAATTTAAAATCTATGAAGTACTTTTTTGAAATAATAATTAAAACGAAACCCATTATATTTTTTATCCATCAGGTTATTTTTGAAATCTCATGATTTTTTTTAAAGTTTAACTCATTAATTTTTTATTGCGTGTGTTGAAGGATGTTTGGTAAGAAGATGGTATTTTAATTTTAGTTACTAAAAAAATTACTATTTTCTTACCAAACATCCCCGACTTTAGTACTATAAATTTAGTTTTTTGTTTTAGTATGATATGCAATTATTGCCATATAGCTGGGGGTAAGGGAAAATAGAATGATAACTTAATTTGAATGAAACATCTATCTCCGCCCCGTCTAAGAAGGAAAAAGCAGAAGAAAACTGACTGAAAAATCGTTCAAAAGCTGGGTGGGTAGGAGAGTGTGTGTACGTGTGTGTGGATTTAGAACATAATACAATATACCCCATCAATACGCGTACACTGAAGAGATTACCGCCCCTCTCTCTTTCTTTCTCTTTGATAATTAATTTAATTTGTATGTTGTTTTACTACTATTTTGATCAGAGATAGAGAGACAAAAAAAAAAAAAGAGAGAGAAGCTGGTACTCGCGCACACACAGGTTTGCTCGTAACAGAAAGAAGAAAGCAGGAAGAAAAAAAAATCATTGATAAAAAAAAAACAACAACAAAAAAAAAAAAAAAACGAGAAGGAATCCAATAAGGAAGAAAGGAAAATAGAGGGGAAAAGTGAAGGGAGTTGTAAATAATGAAAATGAAAGTGTCCTGGTGTAAACAACACGGGGTTGAAAATAGCTCCTCGTCTCAAAACCACTGCACTCTCTTCTACTAAAACGTCAAATACTTGTCGGGCAATTATTTTTTTAAACCTCTTATGTATACAAACGACTTAAGCAGTGAGCGAACAGTTTGACTTTTTTTTTTTCATTAATACATTATTATTCAAACTACAAACAGTCGTGTATCTCTGCATCCCTGGTTAGACTTTTCCTTTTCCTTGGGCCAATTTGAGTAAAACAGCGGATGGATGAAGACTGTATTTTAAACTAAAGCCATTCACAACAACAGCTAAGATCGGGATAGACTTTGTTGAGTTTTTAATTTAAATTTCGCCAATCTTTTTTCTTATATAACAGTTGATTTATTGCCCGTTTCAAAATTGAAAAAAAGAAGGATTTACTGACAGATTGTTGTCAAAATATTTATTGTTTAATTTCATTGGATTTATTTTTCACATTCTTTTTTGACTGTCCAAATTATCGTTATTACATTTTCATTTCATTTCTTATCACGTTGTTGTCGTAATAACCCGCGCGCGCGTTTTTTTTCATTCAAGAAAATTCTTCTTGTATCAACAATTACATGGGAAACCGATATTTTTGTTGTTGAAAATATTTTTTTTAAAAAAGGGAAAAAACAAAAACAAACTATATTACCAGTTGTAGCTTTTCTTTTTTTTCAGGAAATGAAAAAAAAATTTTTTTTATTTTTTAAATTGATTATTTAAGATTTATTGTTTGTAAAGCGGTAAACAAATTGTCGAGAGAAAAGAAAAGATAAAGAAAAGAGTTCATTTATATTGTCAGAAATTAACTAAGTTTTACTTTTCTACAGTTAACTTATTTTCTCTCAGAGAAAAAATTATATTACCTTAAAAAATTAAATCGGTTTTTATTTTTTAATGATGTGGAAGAAAGTGTGTTAGTAATACTAAAAGTTAACTAAAAAAAAGTCAAATTACGCATTTTTGTCATCGTTTTCTTACTTTTTAATCATTAGCAAATTCAGTTTCTGAAACTGCGCGTTTTCTTTCTTTCTCCATCAAATCTTTATAATTTAAATACATTTTTAAAATTAAAAAAAAAATTAATTTCCGTTTTTAATTTTAATTTACCAGATTGTTTCTTAATTTTCTTAACTTTTTCCGCATTATTTCAAAGAAAAACACAACCAATTTTTTAAATAGATTTTTAAAAAAAACAAAATTGCCTGGTGGCACATTTGCTATGACCTGTGGGGGACAGAGGCGATTTATCGTAGGCCTTCATTCGAACAGACGTCAGGCCTCTACAGACACCAACAGCAATAGTCACCATAACGACGCAACTTCACCGTCGTCTTCCTCTTCCTCTTCCAATACTTCTTCCTTGTTAGCATCTTTGTTTTCATCAGCTTCTTCGTGCTCTTCTTTCTCGTTGTCGTCTTCCTCCTCTTCTTCTTCGATATCGACGTCTTCGTCGTCAGTCGCACCTTGCCACCGTCAACCTCAGCACCTGTCAAACGGAAGCACCCCAACCACAACTACGGGTACCAGCAGCCACCGAATCACTACTCAGGGGACCAACTACCACCAATCGGGGTGTGGTGACCCTGACAACGGCCAAAAGGGTCAGAATCGTAACCAGAAAGACGCGGTTGGAGGCAAGTGCCCTCATAATCAGAAACGTCGGACTTCTATCAACAACAATACATCATACTCCACGTCTGCAGGTAACCATTGTGGCACTTTAGATTCGAGTCCGGTTCCGAGCAGGGCCACGAGTGGTAGCTGTAGTAGCGAGAGAGGCCGAACTGGGTGCACTAGCCCTGCCCTGTCGACCTCTTGTTGGAAGCCTCTGTCTATTATGGCCAGAAAAAGAGACGACAAAAGCCCGGCTAGAAATTGTGGAGATAGACAAGAACGAAAAATGGAGTCATATTTGGCTGACGACGAGAATTACCCTAGTTTTTCGAATCAAGTCGTAAAACTCGGACTTCAGCTTAGAGACATTCCTGCCGATGGGTAAGTTTTAAAATTCCACTTTTTTTACCCTCTCGAAAATTTCCCCCTTTTTCACCTTTACATATTTTTTTTTTTCAACATAGTTTTTATTTTCATAAAAGTTACCTTTTATTTACCACTTACAAAGTCACAAGGTGTTTGTTTTACTAGTTACTGTGTAAGTTACTTAAAAATGAAAAACAAATGTCATGGAAGTAAATAAATAAATAAAAATATAAATAAAATAAAAATTCTACTTTTGATTTTAAAAAATCCATCATGTTTTATATTGAAAAAAAAAAAAAACAACAACCTTGTAGGTTATTATTTACTTACTGAATTATTAAAATAACTTTCCTCTTAAATTGTTTTTATTCTACCTCATCAGAAAAAAATTATTAAAAGAAAAAGAATATTCGTTAACTTATTTAATCTCTTCTTATTTTAACAATGTTTTTTCAGTTAAATTACTTAGTTATTTCATCCAGAATTTATTTTAATTCAATCAAACAACCTTATTTTAATAACCTTTTTACAAATGTTTATTAATTCTTCTTAATAACCTAATTTTTTTGTATTGGATGTTTTAAAAAATGTGTTTATGTTTATTTAACTTCGGACATTTTCACTTAGGTCCTGTTTCTTTTGTAAACTATCTTTTTATTTAATTTTATAAAAAAAAAATAATAAAATAATATCTTAGAAATCATGAAATTCACGTTGTTTATATAATATTTTTTTTTTTTTTACCCATTCGAATTTTGTGTGTCGAATGTATATTAGTAACTGACTCAATGTTGTTTAGGGTTTCATTTTAAATTGTTTTTGCCATCGTCTCATGAATTTGGAAACAATTTTTTTTGTTTTTTAATTTAAAGTTGTTTTTATAACTAATTTAAAACTTACAAATGTTTGGTTCTTTGACTATGATGCCTGTCAAAATTTAATTTATCATTCGACACTAGTTTGTTCAGTCGTAGTCCATGTTTTTTTTCACTGTATTTGAATTTAGAATAATTAAAAAAAATATTTTCCAAGCAAGTGCTTTTTTTCCTTCAAATATGTCTAGAATTATTATTATTTTTATTTTAAGCACAACAATAAAGCTGTTTTATTTATTTTAAAACCTCCTTTTTTCCCACAATTTAATTATTTTCTCAGTTAACCTTCTTTTAAGAATTAACTTTTTTTTTCAATAACACATTATGTACTTTTAATTTCACTTTTCCTCCATTACAGACTTTTTCTTTCTTTCTTTCTTTTCTTTACGCTTGACATCACGAGGTCGGGTTCCGTTTTACATTCATTACAACAATTAAAAAAAAATAAGTTTCTATTTTGTTTTTCTTACTAACATGATGTCATAGTGTTTGGGGCTTTTAATATCGTATTACCAAACTTAAGGAAAGGAGTGATATACTTGATTATGAAAGGAAGTCAAAATGATTTAATTCCCAAAGACACCGGTTGCTAAAACATTTCAGACAATTTCGTTTTCTACATTATACTTTTACTTCTACTAATAAAAGGCCATACAACACTCATGCTTCTATTAATAGCTTTACGTTCTTACAACGTAATCGAATAGTCATATGGTATAAAATTGATTGCTGACACGATTTTTACAGACAGTGTACCCTCATTTCGAACATTTTTCCCTTTTTATTTTAACGCACTCATTTGATTTAAAAACAAATGTTGGACGTCATCACAAGGAGTGTTAATTAAATGGTTGTAAAAAAAAAAAAGTGTTTATTAATGAAATTGAAAACTAAAACACGAACTGAGGTTTGTCTTTTAGCTAGCAAACTGTTGTCAAGTGTTCGACTATATCAGTTTATTTTCTTTTGATGTGAACACTTTAACTTTTTTCTCCTTTCAAATTATTAAAGTCCTACTTAATTTGAAAAATAAAAATTTATGCATAACTAATTTTTTTCTTGTTTCCTTCCGGGGTGTAAGATCTTACAACGTAAAAACTGTTCGATAAAACAAAAACAAATCGAATTTTCTGCTTCATTTGACCGATACCTCATATTGTACTGGTTTCATTGACAATTGTACATTGTCAATGAAAGCCCCCTGCCCTCAATGTGATTTAAATTCTTGAAAGTTTACTCTCTTAAAAACGGGCACCCTATCGTAAGGTAATGAATGGTTATTGGTTAGTAAGCTATTGTTTTTTTTTCTTTCAATTGTACAAAAACTCAAATTAGCTTAAAAAACAATTTTTACCCATTCTCCCAGAAATAAACTGACAATAAGTTTAAACCAAACACGTGGCTGTAAAAAAAAAAAAAAATGACTGAGTTAACAGAACTAGTCCTTAATTTTGGTGGATGATAGTGATTTTTCCAAGCGTAGCATAGATGTGGCACAAGGCCGAAAGTAGGGGGAACCCAGTGAGAATCGAATTCACTACTTAGTCATAACTGATCTAGCGAGACAAGCTTGCTACCCATTACACCGCCTCTAGGTGTCCTAGATGAAGGGATAATAAACTGAAATTAAAAAATAAAGTCATAAAAAACTAAAATTTTAAATTTTATTTTAAAATGTCCTCTTTTAACTAAGCCTTATATTGAAAATAAAACCTTTCTTTTTTTCCCGTTAAGATACTTGTAAACAGAAACTTGTATTTTCTTTTTTTGTAAAGTTTGAAAAATAATCATTATTTTGGTTTGGCACTGACTGGTCCACTCATAAAGAAAAAAAAAAGGGGGAATATTTAGGGAGGAGAAAATAATTTTTGAAAATTAGCATTCTTTAGAGACCTTCCTCCTTAGACCGTCACACTTGCCAGAATTGAAAAATATTAAATTTTATCGATTTAGTGAACGGGGTTCTTGTTTTAATTTTTAGTTTCTATTTAGTTTATCGATACAGTGTCAAATCAATCCCTGATTTTTAGAGTTATTGGCCTTTAGGTTGTTACTTTCTGTTATTATTTATAATATCGAAACTAAGATTGTGCTCAGCTAAAAGCATCATTGATAGATTTTTTTTTTTTTTTTACTTTCTAAAAATTTTTGTTTTTGTACGGAGTATAACCGGAAACAATAATTTATCTTAATATGTACAAAAAAAAAAAATTTGTTCGTTATTTAACCCCCCCTCCAAAGAAGTGTTTTCATACGCAAAAAAAGTCTCAAGAAAAGGTTATGAAAACCAATAACTCTGTAAACAGTAAAAGTCAGGGATCGATGTGACACTGTTTCCACGATAATAAAAAGAGGCCCCCTTTCTAATATAACTCCGTATTGTTCGATTCTGATAAGTGTCGCGGCCTAAGGAAGATCTTTAAAAAATTAAACTCCCTACCCCGGCCACATTTCTCTATTTTTATGAGTGGACCAATTTAAGAAGTGCCATGGTATTTATTTATTTAATAATCATGAACAAGAATAAATGTGAAATACAACTTTTTTTTTTTTTTTAAGACTAAATTTCTGAGATGGGCTGAGTTTCAATAGTAACATTTAAAATTATTAAATTATTATACCTTTAAAAATGCTTATTTATTTTCTTTCCTTGCATCTTCACTTCACATTGAAATGATCAATGTTATTGTTAATTAATAAAATAACTTTGTCAGTATTAATTTTAAATTTTTAATTACGTTTTTTTTTTTTTTTGTCATGTAAATTATTATTTTATTTATTTCAAGTCGTACTCTCTTGTTACGACTCAAACACTCCCACACAATTTTATACAGGGTATATAAAAATCTGGTTTTAAAAAAGACAAACAATTGGTCTGGTAACAGTTTTACATAGTTTTTATTTTTTAGTGACTCTTCGGTCAATTTATGTTTCTTATTGCCAGTGGGAGTTGATTGCAAAATAAACATTTGGATAGTAAAACAGATTTAAAAACAGTGCACTCAACTCAATTTGAGGGGTCGCCTAGAGAGAGAAAAAGCAGTAGTGGAAAAATGAAGACTAAAAAAAAAGAGTCAAGAAGATTCATGAATGGACAGAACGTCTTCTTTACGCTTTTACCCGTCTTCTTATGGAAATAATTTATTTCAAAAGACGTTATGAAAACAACTGATTTTAGTCTGTCTAATAAATTAAGGAATTTCTTGTGGTGTTTACAAAATTTATTATCCAACTTTTTTTTTTTTTTTTTTTTTAAATGATTTTTATTTTAAAGTGAAAGAAGGCGTACTTTTGTTTCTTTACAAAAATGATTAGTGTGGCTGTGGCATAAAATCAAACAGATTTAAAAGATTTCATTTCTTTTTACTCTGATTAACTAGCAAAATTACTTGGTATTGCTTGTATTACAGTTTTTTACACTAAATAAAAAAGCTCAAGCATTTTTATTGCTCGCTTGTAGAAAATAGAATCAGTAAAAATAAATGTTTTTAGGCCTTTCCTCTTTTTCCTAAAATAAAAAAAAAAGAACGAAAGATAACTTGGTTCATTTTTTAGTACAAATTAAAAACTTATCATCCCATTAACAAGTTTAAATGGCAAATTATTATGCATGACTGCCTGGTAGCTTCTGAAGTTTCGTTTTTACAACTAGTTTCTAATAAAAAAAACAAAAAACTACAAACTGGTTAGACTAGAATTTTTAGTAGTGCCATTTCATAAATGCCATGATTTCTTTTCCAGGAATAACATAAATTGTCTAATGAACTTTTGTCTTAATTGGAGTTAATTTTTTTTTGTTTTTTTTTGTTTTTACCACAATGACCAACCAAAGCGAAGCAACAAAGAAAAAAATGACAAGGATTATTTATTACATTTCTATGCATGAATTCGAATTTAGCATGAGAATAAATTCTTTATTATTTTTTTTAAATAACTTGAAAATAGACGAATTACTCATAAATGTTTTACTCCAATACAAACGTTGAATGAAAATATAAAGCATATAAATACTTCGTGTTGTTTGCTTTTTCATGCTCTAGTTGAATAACCGATTTTTATTACGCAAATCGAAAAGTGATTGTGAAAATACATTTAAAAAAATTTTTTTTTTTTTTTTTTTTTTTTTTAAGGACAACAGCTTAAATTTGTGTGCATATACATGCACAACAAAACACAGTGGTGTGATTCAAATTAAATTATTTATTAACGACAACGTACTGTTATCTTTCACCGTTTTGTTTTGTTTCGTTTTTTTTTTTTTTTCATAATTTCTACTGAAATTAAGACGTTGCTACTTTTTTCTTTTCTTTTTTTTTTTTACACCTAAATTGTAGTCTGTGAAGGGTAACAAAGCTAAGCAATAACGAACCGGTTCTGACTACTTACGTAATTTTAGTGCGAGTATATTGAATCCTACATATTTATTATGCAATAATCAATGTTACCTAATAAATAATAAGTTAATTATAGTAAAACTTAATGTTGTAGCTACTTTAACTTTACAATTAAGTACTAAATCAATAGTTTTTAGCAAGAAGATTAATTAATTTATTATTGGGGTTTTTCCGGGATTTTCAAATTGCATTTTGTTTTATTTAAATTTACTAGTTTAAAAGCCGCCCTAGACGGCATTTAAGCTAGTTTCTGCAGAGGGCTCTTGATGGGGCCTTCATCATAGGTAGGGAGGAGTAAATGCGATAGGCAATAATAAACAACAGAGATCAAAATTGATCGCTGCATTTAAATATTGCATAAGTTTTTACCTTAAAAGTTCAACGATAATTATTCTGTCGCCACTTAATTTATTTTAAAAAGACAATTTGATGTACGAAGTTTCTTACTTTCGATCATACAAATAATTATTTTTATTTTATTTCATGGGTGACTTTCGTTGGATTTCGCAATTAATTTCAATTATTCCCATATTATTAAAATTATCGTACAAAAAAAAAATTGTCGCAAAAAATCACGTAAAAAAAAAACAAAAAAAAACAGCAACAAACAAAACGCCCCCCTGACCCCAAATTGCCGAAAACAGTCGCAGTAATGAAAACTTGGGAATCCAAAATTTCAGGATTGTGGGTCCAGATTCGGCCTGGAATATTTTTCATTTGCTCATGGAGTTGACCTGATTCCAAAATGGTATATGTTGGGTTACGGCCTTTAGGACTAAAGTTGAAAAAGTGTGACACACTGACATTTGCATTTATTATACAGATGATGCAAAATTTGAAGCATAAATGTAGAAAATATTTTATGTTCATAAACCAAAAACAATATGCTAAAACTTCATTTTCATTTCAATGTTTAATTTAAAAATAAAATTGTTTCTCTGTGAGAACTGTAAACTAAATTAACATTTAAAAAAAAAAAAACCCTGTTTATTGTTAATGTTGCGTGTTTAATTTATTTA